GCGACGATCGACCGCGCCGCGTGCACTGGCTGGCGGGCCTCGGCCTCCCCTCCCCCTTTCTCCCCTCAGCACCCTCCCCCTCACGTTCGGCCCCTCCCCTCCCTGCCCTTCTCTCCCCTCCCTTCCCCGGACACTCATGCGCCAGGAGGCAAATGATCATGTAGACTCAACAAGGCTGTGAGTAGAGCGGGATTTACTGGCCATCGCTCGCTCGTCTGTTACCGAATCTGCTCACGAAGGCCACGAAAAGGAGAAACTTTCGGCTAGTTATCGTACCCGTCGCCCGCCTGCGTTTCCCGAGTGACGCTCCGGGGCCGATTAATTCAGGGTAGATAACACCTTGGCGGCCACACCCGATTTCCCTCTACCTATCTGGCCCTCCCTGGCCCTTCGTTGACCGCTCGCCACCTCCTCCCCTCGGCGCCCCTTGCCTCGCTTCCCCTCCGGCCATTCGCCCCTCGGGGTCGTCTCCCCGTGGCTGCCCGTGACACCCTTGGGCTCGCTCCAGTCTCGGCTCTCGATCCTCGCTCGCCCTTGTTCTCGTCCTCGTTCGTGCTCGCTCGTGTTCACCCATAGATATCCCCCTGCTATGCCCTCCGCCTCCGAATCCCTTCTTCCTATGGCTTCCCCCGTCCACGCTCGCGAAGACCCAACGTCTCGTGTTCATGGACGCCATCCAAGTCTTTGTTAATTTCCAACCCATGCACAGGGCTTGTCTATACAGTTCTTTCTACAACCAACGACACATAAGCTTCCTCTCCTCGCTGGATATTCGGCTCCGTACCTGCGTCCTCCCCCAATACCATTCCCGCCGCTCATACTCGGGGCTTTTACAGTTCTACGCCATCTACTTTAGTTTGGCAGTTCCTATATTTAACACCCGATTTCCGTTCCAGCTCCCTTCCGTTCTTTCAGCCCCACTGCCTTGTATTTATATCTGTTCGTTTCTCTTCTTTCTATTCTCACCTTTGTCACAGATTGCTTGATAATTTGTATGTTCTACTCGTAACATTATTAAGCTTTATCATTGACTACATGAATAGCCTTAATAGCCTTGCTGAATCCGGTACGAATCACGAAGATAAACACATAAAATCAGTCCTCTCTCTTATTTCCGAAAAAAGGGACATAAGACTTTTCATATTCTCACGTTTTCCGAAAGAAGATCAACTCCTCACGTTCGTCTTCTCTCTATATCTATCTATCTATCTATCTATCTATCTATCTATCTCTGTCTCTCTCTCTCTCGCTCTCTCTATCTATCTATCTATCTATCTATCTATCTATCTCTATCAATCAATCTCTCTCTCTCTTTCTCTATCTATCTATCTATCTATCTATCTATCTATCTCTATCAATCAATCTCTCTCTCTCTTTCTCTATCTATCTATCTATCTATCTATCAATCTATCTATCTCTGTCCCTCTCTCTCTCTCTCTATCTATCGATCTATCTATCTATCTATCTATCTATCTATCTATCTATCCATCTATCTCTATATTTATCAATCTATCTTTCTCTCTCTCTCTCTCTCTCTCTCTCTCTCTCTCTCTCTCTCTCTCTCTCTCTCTCTCTCTCTCTCTCTCTCTCTCTCTCTATCTATCTATCTATCTATCTATCTATCTATCTATTTATCTATCTCTATCTATCTATCTGGCTATCTCTTTCTATCTATCTATCTATCTATCTATCTATCTATCTATCTCTGTCGCCCTTCGAACTCTACGCAGCCGACCCTCCTCCACGCGAAACCTCTCCCGATTCTCTGCAGTTTCACGTAACATCTGGATGAAGCTGTCTGTCTGTTTCTTGTCCTGATCCTTTCCCTCCCATCCTTTCTTTCTTTTCTTTCGTTTATATTTTGCTTCCTTCTTCCTGTCCTGACATCATTTTTCCCATCCTCCGCTTTCTCTTCTTTTATCTCTCTCTTTCTCTTTTCTTTACCTAATTTAATTCGTCTTTTTATCTTCTCGCTCTTCTTCTTCGTCTTCCCTTCCTCCTTCGTACTTCCCATCCCCTTCTTCTTTGTTCTTCTTCCATTCCCATATATTCCATCCTTCTTCCTTCCTCCCTCTTCTGCTCCTCTTTCTCTCCCTCCTACTTACCTCCATCTCTTTATCCCTCTTCATTGCTGATTCTCTTTCATCTCTCCCTCCTTCTTTCCTCTTCTCCTCCTACTTTCCTCTTCTCCTCCTACTTTCCTCCATTTCCTTTATCCTTCCTCTTTCCTCCATTCCTTCCTCCTTCCCCATTCCTCCCTATCTTCCTCCTCCTCCTTCTCTCCCTCTTTCCTCCCTCTCCTACTCCTCCTCTCCCCCCTTCCTCTATCTCCTCCTCCTCCTCCTCCTCCTTCTTTCCCTCTCCTCCTCCTCCTCCTCCTTCTCTCCCTCCTCCCTCCTTCTCATCTTCCTCCTTCTCTCCCTCCTCCTTCCTTCTCTTCCTCTTTCTCTCCCTCTCCTCCTCCTCCTCCTTCTCTTCCTCCTTCCTCTCTCTCCTCTCCCTCTCCTCCTCCTCCTCCTCCTCTTCCTATTTTCCCCTCTCCTCCTCCTCCTTCTCCTTCTCTCCTCCTCCTCCTTCTTTCCCTCTCCTCCTTCTCTCCCTCCTACCTCCCTCTGCTCCTGCTCCTCTTTCTCTCCTTCCTCCCTTCCTCCTTCTTCTCCTCCTTCTCTCCCTCTCCTCCTCCTCCTCCTCCTTCTCCTCCTCTCCCTCCTTCCTCCCTCTCCTACTCCTCCTTCCTCCTCCTCCTTCTCTCCCTCTCCTCCTCTTCCTCTTCCTCTCACTCTTCTCCTCCTCCTTCTCCTCCTCCTCTCCCTCTCCATCTCCTCCTACTCTACTCCTCCTCCTTCTCTCCCTCTTCTCCCACTTTCCTCCTTCTCTCCCTCTCCTCCTCTTCTTCCTTCTCTCCCTCCTCCTCCACTTCCTTCTCTCCCTCCTTCTTCTCACCCTAGGTCCCCCTCTTCTCCTCCTCCTCCTTCTCTCCCTCCTTCTTCCCTCTCCTCCTCCTTCTTCTCTCCTTCTCTTCCTCCGCCTTCTCTCTCTCCTTCCTCCTTCTCCTCCTCATACTCGTTCCCTCTTTCTTCCCTCACCTCCTCCCTCCCTCTCCTCCTTCCCTATTTCCTCCCTCTCCTCCTCCTTCAACCCTCTTCTCTCCCTCCCTCCTCCTCCTCCTCTTCCTTCTCCTTCCCTGGCAACAGTGTTCACTCAAATCCTACATTAGATCTCTAACTCCTGTCCGTCTGCTGCCGTTTAATATAGCATCGTAACCTGCTATTAAGTGATCAGAGCGCGGAAATAATTACGCTGGGACTTTTAAATGCTAATTTCATATAGCGGGATGAAATGCGATGACGATTTTTATTTTATTTTATTTCATTTTATATTATTTATTTATTCATTTATTCATTTATTCATTTATTTATTTGCCTTTTGGATAATTCTGTGAAAATGTTCTGCTATTCTTTTTTTTTTTGTGCCGCTGAGCTACCTGGGGAATTCTCTTGATGAGGCCGCTCTCCGCTGTGCACAGACTCATGTCTCTCTCTCTCTCTCTCTTGCTCTCTTTCTCTCTCTCTCTCTCTCTTGCTCTCTTTCTCGCTCTCTCTCTCTCTCTCTCTCTCTCTCTCTCTCTCTCTCTCTCTCTCTCTCTCTCTCTCTCTCTCTCTCTCTCTCTCTCTCTCTCTCTCTCTCTTGCTCTCTTTCTCTCTTTCTCTCTCTCTCTCTCTCTCTCTCTCTCTCTCTCTCTCTCTCTCTCTCTCTCTCTCTCTCTCTCTCTCTCTCTCTCTCTCTCTCTCTCTCTCTCTCTCTCTCTCTTGCTCTCTTTCTCTCTCTCTTTCTCTCGTTCTCTCATGTTCTGTGTTCTCTATTTCTCTCGTTCTCTCTGTCTCTCTGTTCTCTGTTTATCTCGTTCTTTCTTTCTCCCTGTTCTCTGTTTATCTCGTTCTTTCTTTTTTCTCCTTCTCTTTTTCTCTCGTTCTCTCTTTCTCTCTGCTCTCCCTTTCTCTCGTTCTCTCTTTCTCTCGTTCTTTCGTTCTCTCGCTCTCTTTCTCTTTCCCTCCTTCCTCACGTTCTCTCTTTCTCTCGTTTTCTCGTGCTCCCTGTTCTCTATTTCTCTCCTTCTCTCTGTTCTCTATTTCTCTCGTTCCTTCTTTCTCTCGTTCTCTCTTTCTCTTTACTCTCTCTTCTTCTCGTTCTCTCGTTCTCCCTCTGTCTGGCTGTCTGTCTGTCTGTCTGTCTGTCTGTCTGTCTTTCTATCTACGATATATATATATATATGTGTGTGTGAATGTGTGTGTGTGTGTGTGTGTGTGTGTGTGTGTGTGTGTGTGTGTGTGTGTGTGTGTGTGTGTGTGTGTGTGTGTGTGTGTGTATGTGTGTGTGTGTATGTATATGCACAATTAAAATCCCATTCGTAAACGTGTCCAAGCAAATCCAGTCTGAACAACCAAACATCCAAACCTCCCGACCCGACAGCAGGCACTAGTCGAACCCCAGTCGCCAGGAACCCATTACGTAACACCCCCTTTCCCTGAACACCGTAACAAAGGCGACCAAACGAAGACGACCACAACGCACAGCAAAAAACAGATACGATACCAATAAAAACATAAATAAAAATAAATAAATAAATACACATATGCCTAAAATAAAAATAAATTACGAAATAAAAATCAAAATAGAAAATAAACATAAAGAAGAGATGAATAAATAAAATAGAATAAATTCACATACACCTAAATCAAAATTCAAACACAACGACAGCAAAAATAAAGGCATCATCACACGCACACGCACAGAACAATGCAGTATTCATCGACAGTCGAGCCGATCACATCTGTGAGTTGTAGGCTGCAGCATTATATCCTCTTTTTTTTTCTTTTTTATTTTATCTTATTTTATTTATTTTTTTCTTTTTGGGGGGAGAGGAGGGGGGGGAGGGAGGAGGCGGGCCAGCAGCACCTCCGAGAATGAAGCATCTGCTGCTCTCCGGCAAAGGTAAACTG